AAATAAATAAATAAAAGAACAATAAAAACAACAAGTTGAGAGCAGATACATTAATAAAGCCATTTAAAAGTTGATACAGTAATGACATAATCAAAGCTTTAATAAAAGCAACAAGAATGGGAACTGATCATAGCTCTGAAGGCAATGCATTCCATGGGGAGTGATGCAGAAGAAACATCTCCTGTGTGTCTGTCAAAGAGGCTTCACCAGGTGTTGGTATTGTCAAGAGGACCTCTCCTGAAGATCTTATGATTTGGATAGGTTCATAACAACAGTAGGCATTAGCTAAACAACTAAGGCGCTCAGGAAAGGAGCATTGTGCAAAGGTATTACTTAGGTCCATTTCTACATGGAAATTGCACAGCAATGCAGAATTAAAGAATGGCAGTCCTTAAGTTTGATTTTTTCCCTACTAACCACCAGTAGCATCCATCTTGTTAAGATTGAAATTTAGCTTGTCCACTTTCATCCAGGCCATTATCCATCTATATTGACTGTTTCCTTGGTGTTTGATAACAAGGCACAGCAGAGTGGCATGTCATCAGCATATCCTGATATCCTTCTAAAAAGTTTGAATTGCCTGTCCCAGAAGTATTATGGGGGTGGAGATCAAGAATAAGCAAAATATGAACTATGTGTGGCACACAGTGTACAGTTCTCTCTGGAATTTTTAAATTAAATAAACTCCAGAGAGTTGCAGGCTGCTACAGAAATTTTGTGGCAAACCACTAAATGGCTGTTTATTCCACTGATGAGTGTTGAAGTATTGAGTATGTTATTGTTATTGATTGGCAGAGGAAATCTTCAGGTATCTCCAGTTGCAAGCCTCTCCACCACCCCTGTGGCTCTATGTAATCAATTTTTTATTTGTCATTTAAATAGCCTTTGCAATCAACTATTTCTCCTTCCACAATAATCACATTTGAAGTTCATGGTTCTCAAAGTTGATTTCAATTTATTCTTGATTAATTAAAATTAAATTAATTAAATAATTAAAATTAAGTGGGTTTAAGATGAAAATACTGAATTAAAATTTAATGAACTAAAATTAGTGTTTTGTAATAATCATTACTCAGGTCTGAGTGGCATTGTTGCTAAGACAGGAATTTTAGTATAATAAAACCAGAAACAATGGTTGAAATGTCAATAGTATTCAGTAGCAACTAAAGCAGGGCTGCTGAATCAATGGAACTCACATACGCATGGGCTCTCCAAATCACAATTGATTAAGTGGACCTTCTGTAATTGTGACTTACTGCTAGATTTCAGTCTCTCTCTATGTGTTGTATATATGTATAAAATAAGAGAAAAATTCTATTAAGCTCAGCTCATCTTTTTAGACCATAGCTTCTTTAGGTGTGTGGCCCATGAGCACTGCTTCCTTTAGAAAAAAAATACCTCTGTCTTATAAGGAAGTATTTATCCCCAAACACATTCAGAGAGGGTTTCAGATTCGTTGTACACTGGTGGTTCACATCAGCCCTCAGTCTAAAAGTTGCAAAGAGAGTGATTTGTCCACGATAACAGTGTCATGTGTAACCTCTCCATCTTCAGATCAGCAGCTTTTCCAGAAGATAATACAAAAGGAAAAGAATCCATTCTGACATGTGATTAATTGGGACAGGTCGATGTTGGTTATGGCTGATGTGAAATCCTGGGTCTTTGTTGACTGAACAAACCTCCATATGAATGTTGAAGTTCCTTTGAACAATATTCCTGGATGATTCAGTGCCATATCAGTGTTTGTCCCAGCTAGCTCTAGAAGGAAGACAGTAGGATAGAGTATACATCAACAGAATCCCAGCAGTGTTCTTGTCACTCAGCTGCAGTAGCATACATTTAGAATTGGCAGACTGCTGGATGGGAAATGGAGGTAATGAGGTTGAGTTTTTATAGGCTGCAGCCACTCCACCTCTCTGCCCTCAACACCCAGCCTGCTGTAATGACCACATGGACAGAACTCTGTAATACAAACCAGGTCCTGGATGCCCTGTTGTTCTTCCTACAACTGGCCTGTCATTGAAACAAGGATTTTTAGTCAGGAAGATCTACATTCATTGTCTTCATGGCTTGTTTGCAACAAGGAGGGAAAGCACAACAGCCAGCGGTCTGTGCTCCTTTCCCTGGAATGCCCAGATTGGCATTTTGCACCATATCTCTCCTTGCTTTGCTTGCTCCAACAGTGCCTCCATATTTTCATTCTTCCAGACACATCTTTGTGACCCAGTAGAATAGGAATTCACTCAGTTCCTAGTTGCCACTCTTTAAGACAGCACCCATTGCAGTCTGTCTGACAGTGAAAAAAATGGCCAGAATCAATGTTGTCACCTAAGAAGTTACACTATTGGTTGTTGTCTAATTGGCAGTACCCCTACTTTGAAGCAGTCTTGCTGCACAATGGCAGCAGTTTTCTTTATAATACCAAAGTTGACACTGAAACCAATGAGGTTGGACATTGAGCTGATTTGGAGATGGGCTCCTTGTACCAACCAAATCTATTTGTAGGCAAGAGAGCCTACAAATGGCAGGCAGAAATCCATGTGGACTGTGGGCAAGAGCCCACTTTATCTGCTTCTTCCCACTGACATTTTTTCAGTAGCTGCTTTTCTTCCTTTTGTGTATATATACAGACAAGATGGAACAAAACTACAGCAAAAATAACCACTTTTTTTCTATTTCAGGAAACCAAGAATCTCTCTTGGAGGCTTGAATGTACCTGGAGACCAAGATTTCTTCAAACAATGGAAGATTACCAGTAAATATTAATTAAGCAGAGAGAAAGCTGCTAATGTAATAGAGCAAGTGAGTAGATGAATGTTTTGCCATCTATACTGCAGATCTGTTGATAACATATGGCCTGCAGCCTTTTAGAATGTATTTCTGAAAACGTTTATGCATTATGAATGTTCAGCCTTCCTGAATGGGCATGTGGAAAGTTTCTGGAAAGTTCCCTTACCCTCTCTGTCTCAGCATTCACACATTACTGTCAACCAAAATGACACAAAGAATTATCCAAGACTACTCAGAGGCAGTTCTCCTTGTCCAGTTTTTGCCTATGGTAAAGTTTTCCCTCTTGGTAAATTTTGCCTCTTGCCAAAATGCCAGAAAATTCTGCACAAACACAATGATAGAAAATCCCTTGTGCATGCATGTACTAATGTTCAAGAAACAATATATGGGCTTTGTGGGGTGCATTTCTATCATTCAGACTAACCAGGAATTGCAAATGGAGTTGCAACCAGAAGATAGTAGATATTATATTAAAATATCACAGATGGTTATCCAAGTATGTGGATTTTCTTGCAAAGGTGAGTTTAGTGTTAATTTTACATTCACATCTCTTTCTGTCTTTTTCTCTTACATTGACCCGCTATGTGTTTAGAGATATATGTTTTAAGTTTTCGGCAAAGTTTTGTTTGCTTGAATTGTGTCTCATATTAATCAGAGTGTTCTTTTTTACCACAGTTAGTGAGAAGAAAGTCTGTATTATCAACATTTCACTTTTTTAGGACTTTTTCTACAGCATTCCAAAGCTCTAGAATTTCAGCATTGTTGCCTGAAAACTGTATCTGTAGTACTGTACTGATTCCATTGGATCCAGTGGATCCTTATAGTGCCTATTCCACTGGATCCATGGTGGTGAACTTCAACATCCAGAATCCCCAGCCTTTATTGTCAGTGGTAAAGGACTATGGGAACTGAAGTCCAAAACATCTGGCATGCCAAGGATTCATCAACCCTGCTTTAGGACTTTTCAAATCTGGGTTTAGGCTTGGTTTTAGGATTGAAACAGCCTTAGTTGCTGTGGTAGACCTACAGTGAACCTGAACAGAGGTCCTGCATGAACATTATTCATTCATCAATTAATTGACTCACTCATTCATTCAATTTATAATCCACCTTTCTCTTTTCTCTGACATAACTTAACAATAATTTAAAACAATAAAATGAAATGCAGTTCAAACACAGTAGAATGTAATATTGAAAAACAAATAAATTTACAATAAACAGAAAAAGCTGCCATTTAAAAACCTTTACATTTAAAATCAATAATAAACATGTAAATATGCCGCATCCCATAATAGCAGTTAACTTGTCCAAACTAATTAAATCCTGCCTAAAAAAGAATATTTGCTCATGGTAGGACAAGAGGAAAGGGCCAACTTGGCCTTTTAGGAGCAGCCACGGAAAGGACCCTCTCTTGCATAAGGACCTATGGGTAATGAAAGAAGGGCTTCCCTTTAGATACAGTTTTATAGGTCATGATCAGCACTTCAAATTGGGTCTGATCAGCAATCAGTAAAGCCATTGTTATATAGGAGTTACATATCCCCTGTAGCTGATGCCAGTCAGCAATGTGGTGGTAGCATTTTTACCAGCGGAGTTTTCTGAATGCATTCTAAAGGCAATTTTTGAAAGCTTCTGCTTTCACTAACAGGCTTTTAAACTCATTTGTTTTTATCTGTTTCTATTGAACTTTTGTAAGTGTACATTTTTTCTCATTGTCTGGTTTAATTCAATGGAATGTTTATATTTTGTTTTTTGTTCTGTTTTGTTTTTGAAACCACTTTTGCAAATAATTAATCTGGTGTTAAAAATTCAGTCTAGCAACTGGAGACACGCACACATTCTCCCATCTTGTTTTAAGTGGGTGTATGCTTTACTGGGTCTTTTTCAGAAATGAGCTAAAATGATTGAAGCAGAACAAGTAACCAATATAATGACAAAAACTTCAAAGTCAAGTTATAATAGAACCAAATTCTGAAGTTGTAGACCTCTCTTTAAAGAATTAAATATAGTTAGCTACAGAGCTTTGTATGGAACTGTCATAATTAATAAGCACTTCTACACAAGACTTCGTTAAATATAGTGTAATCCTAATAGGAGTTGTTACATGCATTAATTAACTTGATTACATGAGACAGAAGAAGAAAATTCTAGGAGTAACCAAAGAAACTTCTGTAACTCACTGGTCTAATAGTAATTAATTTGTCTACTACAAATCCATCAGGTCCATCATTATGACCATTATGATTTTTTAAAGATAGCTAAATGCTCGTCCATAAGATCTGATTAATCTTTTAAGTTTTTTTAACCTAATTGTTGTTGTTTAGTCATTTTAAGGGTCTTTTCCTGGGAGTCTTCTCATCTCATGAGATGGCCAAAGTATTGGAGCCTCAGTTTCAGGATCTGTACTTCTAGTGAGCACTCAGGGTTGAATTCTTTCAAAATGGATAGGATTGTTCTCCTTGCTATCCAGGGGACTCTCAAGACCCTCCTCTGGCACCACAATCCCAAAGGATCAATTCTTTGACGGTCACCTTTTTTATGGTCCAGCTATCACTTCCATACATTGCTACTGGAAAAACCATAGCTTTGACTATGCAGAATTTTGTTGGCAAGGAAATGTCTCTGCTTTTTAAGATGCTGTCTGGGTTTGTCATCGCTTTCCTCCCAAGGAGCAGGCATATTTGAATTTCGTGGCTGCTGTCACCATCTGCAGTGATCATGGAGCCCAAGAAAGTAAAATCTGTCACTGCCTCCATCTCTTCCCCTTCTATTTGCCAGGAGGTATGTGACCCGTGGCCATGATCTTAGTTTTTTTGATGTTGAGCTTCAGACCATTTTTGCGCTCTCCTCTTTCACCCTCATTAAGAGGTTCTTTAATTCCTCCTCACTTTCTGCCATCAAAGTAGTATCATCTGCATATCAGAGGTTGTTGATATTTCTTCCACCAATCTTAATTCCGGTTTGGGATTCCTCTAGTCCGGCCTTTTGCATGATGTATCCTGCATATAAGTTAAAGAAGCCGGGGGACAATATACAGCCTTGTCGTACTCCTTTCCCAATTTTGAACCACTCAGTTGTTTCATATCCAGTTCTAACTGTTGCTTCCTGTCCCATGTATAGGTTTCTTAGATAAGGTGGTCAGGTACTCCAATTTCTTTAAGGACTTGCCCCAGTTTGTTGTGGTCCACACAGTCAAAGGCTTTTGCATAGTCAATGAAGCAGAAGTCGATGTTTTTCTGGAACTCTCTGGCTTTCCGCATAATCCAGCACATGTTAGCAGTTTGGGCTCTAGGTCCTCTGCCCCTTCGGAATCCAGCCTGTACTTCTGGGAGTTCTCAGTCCACATCCTGCTGAAGCCTACCTTGGAGGATTTTGAGCATAACCTTGCTAGCGTGTGAAATAAATGCAATTGTATGGTAGTTGGAGCATTCTTTGGCACTGCCCTTCTTTGGGATTGGGATGTAGACTGATTTTTTCCAATCCTCTGGCCACTGCTGAGTTTTCCAAACTTGTTGGTATATTAAGTGTAGCATCTTAACAGTGTCATCTTTTAAGATTTGAAATAGTTCAACTGGAATGCCATCACCTCCACCGCCCTTGTTGTTAGCCATGCTTTCTAAGGCCCACTTGACTTCACTCTCCAGGATGTCTGGCTCAAGATCAGCAACCACACTATCTGAGTTGTCCGGGGTATCTTTCTGGTATAATTCCTCTATGTATTCTTGCCACCTCTTCTTTATGTCTTCTGCTGCTGTGAGGTCCCTACCATTTTTGTCCTTTATCATTTCCATGTTGAAAGGTCTGCCTTGGATTCCTATTGAAATCATTTTTGAGATTATATCCCTTTACATCTTTTCCCACTCTTTTGTTGACTCTGAGGGCTACTCCATTCCTTCTACGGGCTTCTTGCCCAATAGTAGATATGATAGTCATCTGAATTGAATTCACCCATTCCTGTCCATTTTAGTTCACTGATGCCCAGGATGTCAATGTTTATTCTTGCTATCTCTTGTTTGACAACCTCCTGCTTCCCAAGGTTCATAGATCTTACATTCCAGGTTACTGTGCAGTATTTTTTTTTGCAGCATCAGACTTTCCTTTCACTTCCAGGCATGTCCACAGCTGAGCGTCCTTTTGGCTTTGGCCCAACCTCTTCAGTAGCTCTGGAGCTACTTGTACTTGTCCTCCGCTCTTCCTCAGTAGCATATTGGACACCTTCCAACCCGAGGGGCTCATCTTCCAGTGTGATATCTTTTATCCATATGTTTTTGATTATGGGGTATTCTTGGCAAAGATACTGGAGTGGCTTTCCAATTCCTACTCCAGGTGGGTCGCGTTAAGTCAGAACTCTCCACCACGACCTATCATCTTAGGTGTCCCTGCACGGCATAGCCCATCGCTTCTCTGAATTACTCAAGCCCCTGTGCTATGACAAGGCAGCAATCCATGAAAGGATTTTAACCTAATAGAAAGCACTTTATCATCTGGGTAGTTTATTAATGTGATTGTAATTATCAAACTGAATTAGACTGTAATGTGTTTTGAATGAAATGGATAGGCCATTCCAGTAAAGAAAACTTTGGTTCCAGGCTGTGAAACATTGCCATTGTGTATTATAATTTTTCTTACCGGGGTTGAAAATGTTTGAATAGATATGTTTTTCACAGTAACAGACATTAGCAGTGCAAATCTAGACACACTTCCTCAGAAATAATCCATTTAAGTTGCACGAGACTTTATTTTAGATGAGAGAGGCTGCAATCCTGTACATGCTTATTATGGAAGATGTTGACTCCTATTGAAGTCAGTTTTACTTATTTCCTGAGTAAACTCAAAAATAATTGGACTGTTACCTGTGCAACAGATCAGTGAAATTTTGCATGATTGCACTTTTCCTGTCATTTAATTTGATGTCAAATAATTTCTAAACCATATAAATTCATAGTTAGAAGTTTATAAAAAGTATTCTAAGTACATGGGGAACACTCTATGGAAGTTGGTTTTATGCTGGC